CCTCGAACTTCTATTGCGATGCGTCACCAGGCGAGGACTATTGCGGGCTGTGCTTCATTTCCTCTTTGTATATGAGTATGATGGAGTTAGAGTCGTCGATGTATTGTTACGAAGACTTGAAGGCAATTCTCAGGTTTGTTTTATTTGTTTATTATACTTATGATGTAGTTGGCTGTGTCTAATGCTTGGAGTGGACTGCGCGATTGGATGTGCAGATATTTTCGGTGTTTTTGTACTGAAAAGCTGCTAATTTTCTGGATTTGTTGTAAAGGTAAGATGTTATATTTTTATAATACTATCGTCAGACATGTGAGACACTATAGATCACGTCAACATCTTACCTAAATTAAATAAATATTCCGGGTTACTCACGTGAATTTATTGAGAAAAGCTCTACTAGTTTCGAGTCACAGAGGGGCTCTTCCTCATGAGCAGTGTGCGCGGACTATTTGAAATTTTAAAGCGTCACATGTCCAGGGTGCTTACTCTTAAATCCAATTCCGATCGATCGACATTGGTATTGTGAACGTACTCTTGAGTTGCAACACTAGCGCCCATTGCATCCGTATTACGTGGATATTTAATGAACTATTTTGAGTTTGGCTTTATATTCCGTACTCTGAATGCTATTTTAACAGCTACAGCTACGATAGGGGTTGTATAGTTTTGACATTGAATATTGATATTTTATTGGAATGAAATTGCATTGACAATGAGATTGGTTTCAAGAGGTAACACATCAGTTAATTGAGAATATTGACATCGTAATAATATGTTACCCGATTTGAACTAATCGAGATTCAAACCTACTTAACGTCTATATTCCAGCTATCACTAGTCTCCTTAGCTCTAATGGAGACACTAATCGACCTCAACTGCGAAGATGTGATGGTAGACCTGGTCTTCAAGCACCTTCTCAACGGCCACCACCTGATGGTAGCCTATAGACATAAGATAGCTGATCCGGAGCCTTATAGAGACGCGGCTATCGCATTCTTGGGACTCTCGCCTAGATGCTGCTCGAGGCCTATGGAGATGGTAAGATATTTGAGTGATATTATTTTATTATTGTGTAATTTGTAAATGTAGGGGTGGCCCGGAGGTTTAAGACGCCCTCTTCTAGACGACATACCAATGTGACTTTTTCCAAGTTACATTTATTGTCTAAGATTATTTAGACACCACTGACAAACGGTGAAGGAAAAGCATCGTGAGAAAACCTGGCCTTATAATTTATAATTATAAGTTTGAAATCACCAACCCGCATTGAGCAAGCGTGGTGTATAATGCCCAATCCTTCTCCGTGTTAGAAGATGCCTTTGGTCAGCAGTGGCAACTCAACTGTTGATGTGATGTGTTTGGTAATTTAATGAAATTGTTTAGGTAGTTGTCTGTTAATTAAATTGACCAGTAATGAATAAGTGAACTGAGAAACTAACTCCTAAATTTTTTGACCAAAGTTTTCTCGAGCCTCTCAAGCTAACATAACATAACAATACACCTTTTATCCCCGTAGGGGTAGGCAGATGTAAACATTATGCCACTGTACAATGTAACACCCACTTTTCAGTATTTATGTTATGAATCCCATGTAATACGGGGTGAGCCTATTGCCATATACCGGGCACAATTCCAGACACCGTGCTACTACTGAGAATTTATAAAAAACCCAGTAATACTTTGCCCGAACCGGGAATCGAACCCCTTGCCCGGCAGTCGCACTTGCGACCACTCGGCCAACGAGGCCTTTCGAGCTCTGGAATATAATATCTTAAGTTCTTAAATATATAACCTGGGTGTCTTCAAGGCCCGAGTGAATAGGTTGCTTAGAGGACGACGCTCCATCGTAGGCCACATTACCTCTCACCACAAGGCGAGACAGTGGTCACACGTCGGCACATCAAATATAAAAAAATTAAATAACTTGTCATCTTGAATGTAAAGATTAGTTATTTATTCCTAAATTCACTTAAAATCGCGGGTTACTCACGTGAAAGTACTCGAGAAAAGGTTACTAGTTTCGAACCACAGAGGGGTTCTTCCTCATGAGCAGCGTGCGCGGCAATGTCGCGCAGCCTACTCTGATTGACTGATTTATTCCTGTTAAAGTAGTTCCAACAGTTATGGCAACTGTTTCATATTACCAAAGACATATAATAAATATCCTACTAACAACTAAAATACCGTACCTTTTGTTATCTAAATAGAAACTAAAGTTATCCTAAAACATTCTCCAGACAAAACGTTGGATAGACGAGCTAGCAATGAGCGGACGTCGCGTCCTTGATCTGAAGAGTGACAACGAGAGACGGGTGAATGGAGTCCACGACGATATCGCCATGAGCAGTCTGGTACATGAAATTAAAGTCAATTATGGGGTAAGTGCATTTAAATATAAGACTCTGTGGCATATTGTGTTAGGCGACGCTAAACTGCTGACTGACTCTGACTCTGACTGCACGGATGGTGTGGTCATCCGTGCAGTCAGAGTCAAGAGTCAGCTCAAGGAGCTGGGCAACCGACTGCCGTGCAACGTGTCGCGGGTTCGATTCCCTCACGGAACAACACTTTTTGTGATCCACAAATTGTTGTTTCGGGTCTGGGTGTCATTGTGTATGTGGACTTGTATGTTTGTAAACGTACCAACGACACAGGAGAAAATCCTAATGTGGGACAACGACAAAATTTTTTTTAAAGTAAACAATTAGTTATTGAGTTAAAGTAAATATATTGAATGAAAGAGATATTGTGTGGCGTATTATGCAATATATCTACTACAAATTCCTAAAACTATAAAAATCCGTTACATTTTATAACTCACAACATATTTCTGTGTGTACATCATTGTAGACCTTTCATAACTATAAATCCAAATATTGAACTGACTCGTAACAACATTTCAACCATTTGCATTATTTTATATTCTATGTATAATTCCTTCTAGAACCCCAACGATACACTATTCGGCAACTACCACGCCTACATCTGCGACTCGCGCTTCGAAATAGTATCCCGCGTACTAGCATGCAGTAACTGGACCTCAAGGTATGACAGCGTCACGCCGCCAAAAAGAGAAACAAACAACAATACAAAAGAAACGAAAGAGATAGACATAGTCTCACCGAAAGAGCAGGACAGCCTTATTTCATGTACGAGCGGATATGAGACAAAAACAAGCGACAGTTCGGAAAAAGAACAACACAGTTTGACGTCACTGAATGAACAGGAGAATGAAGTGAAGACCGAATTGAATGAATTAAAAGAACATGATAGTTTGACGTCTACGGGGGAGAGTAGTGGTTATGAGAGCTTTAAGTATAAAGAGGGTGAGGGGGATGAGGGATTCGCTGAGGAATTGTTCAGGAGGAGCTTTGTAAGGAAGGAGGATAATGGGTATGAAGGGGAGGTGCCTTTGATCAGAAGCTGGAGGGCCAGTGCTGAATCAATTATTGGTAAGTTTTTTTTACTGTCCTTAGAATACCATGGAGTTTAAGCTATGGTGATGCTCACCCCTTTTTATGATAGTGTATTCACTCCCTATTATATGGAACCCAGGCATAACTGCTGAAAAGTCTGTGTACAGGTTAGTGACATTACCCGTAAGGCTAACCTCAGCTTCGGGTAGGGTATCAACCCTGTTGGGCCCCATTTGTGATGGTCTGATGGCTTTTTAAGGCGCATGGAGAATTCGACGTACCATACTCTCGGGTCTAGTTCTATTTGGGCGGCGAATTACCCTTGTTTGGCGTCCGCAGACCCGTGCTTAAGGTGGCCGGAGACCTTTGGGGAACAAAGAAAGATGTTTTAAAAAACTTGCTTTAAATCCGATGGATCCTGAATTAGAGACAAAAGTGTTTAATGGACAAATTTTAATGTAGCCAATTGTATATTTTAGTATCACTAATTCTTTTTTTTATTCCATGCAGGCCCATTACTAGCCAGCCTTCTGAAGAAGACAGCAGTTCTCTTAGAATCGGAAGTCATAGTAAACTGCCGCGTCACGAGTGTAGTCTCCAAATTAGCGTCGCTACCTACACCTCTGCTGACCTCGCTACTGCTGTGTCCCGGATTTGTACTGCAGCCTAACGTGCCTTCTTTGTTTCAGGTAAGTTTTTTTTATGGAATAGGAGGCATAAGAGCAGACGTATCACCTGATGGTAAGCGATCAGCGCTCTCTACAATACGCTCTTTTCTTGAAGATTTTAAGGTCATATCGGTGCGGAATTACTACCGACGACAGATCATTCCACAGTTTTGCTGTGCGAAGCAGAAAGCATCGTGAAAAGCGCGCATTAGTAGTTTTGTAGTTACTATTAAATAATGGTTAGAGCATTGATTTATCATCCAGTATAAGGGTTTCTGTCGCGGAGAACCTAACGGGTAACCGGGGCTCCGGCTCGACGTGCGGGAGAAGGAACGGGGTGGTTTTTAGTCAGTAAGAATCTGACACTCCCTCCCGTCTCACCCAGGCGGGAGCAGTCATTCGATGATTTTCCCTTAAAAAAAAAGTATGAGTGTTTCTGTAACGGGGTTGCCATAATCATAACCTATGTTTTAACATCCTAAGAGTTGTGCCAAAAGTAACATTATAGTACCTAATGTTCTGTCGATGTCGTGACTCAGTTTTGCTGGATATAAATAAGTTTACGATTATCTGGGTTTCTTTTGGTCCAATGATGTTATCTATTATGAAAATGTAGGTTTTGTAACTTTTAAATATAATTTTTTATCCTTTTTTTGTCCTGTGTCATAATTATTTTGTCACTTTTATACTTGTAAGTACCTAATCACTCCATAGTATAAAACAAAGTCGCTATCCGCCGTCTGTCTGTCCCTATGTATGCTTAGATCTTTAAAACTACGCAACGGATTTTGATACGGTATTTTTTAATAGATAGATTCCTAAGGAAGGTTTATATGCATAATACTTAAGCATATTGCACCCATGCGAAGCCGGGGCAGGTCACTAGTACCCATTATAATTATGTTATATCTCTTACCAGATACTAAGTAAACTAAAAGAAGAAGTAGA